ATAGTAAGGTGACTTCCAAGGTATTTTCTGTTCGATCTCTCTCGCGAATAATGTGATTGTTTAAGAGCGTAGGCGCAAAATTTCGAGCCAATGCTTTTTAAATGCATTCATTTTTTTCGAATCCTGAGAAAACTAATAAATATTTTTGAAAAATTTAAACGCAGAATGAAAGAATACATTATTACCGAGGGCCGAAAGTCCCTGAAAACTTCTATAATGTTTATTTTAATAAGTTACAGGGGTGAAAAATAAGAGAAAATTTAGTGTGATTTTTATTTCAAATATTTCATCCAAAAAAACTTTGTGTTTATTTTAAGGAACTTTTGGCCCTCGGTAATAATGTAATCTTTCATTCTGCGTTTAAATTTTTCAAAAATATTTGTTACTTTTCTCAGGATTCGAAAAAAATGAATGCATTTAAAAAGCATTGGCCCGAAATTTTGTGCCTACGCTCTTAACAGGGAATTTATGGTTGATTGTTCAACTGACGTTTATGGTTTATGTCTTTGGATGCATCCCAAAAAGCAGCATTTATGTTTTTTTGCTCAGAAATTTTTATATTCATTTTTATTCACTAATGAAATAATTCTCTGCTACTCATTTTTAAAATGAAAATATACTGAAATCACGTTAAAAACTACTCTGAAACTTTACTATTTGAACTAACGTTCCTCAAAGAGTTGGATAGTGAGAAATAGTTCTAACCGTTTGTCCCTTGGCCGCTTGTTGGAACCTAGGGACTTAACACAGTGTTGTGCATTAATGTGAGGGGAAAGTATGGACTTAATTTCAACTTAAAAATAAACTTGGACTTAATATTGTCATTACTAAAAATACCAAACTAAAGACTGTACTATTAAATTTGATATTCTTTTCTCACAGAAGAAACAAGGACTTTAATATCGTTTAAAATTAGCTATCTCCGTTATTATTCGAGATTGGGCTAGATCTTAGTAGCATATGAAAGAGGACTTAATTTTAAGTCAATTTCATTGATAATCCCGTTTTGATTAAAATTGGACTTAATACACTTTTATTCTGAGTTACAGAATTATTTTTACAGATCCGCTTTCAGTTTTAAAAAATTTAAATTCCAATGCATACAATCACATTATACTTAACATTGAAAATAGATTTAGAAATTGACAAGATCTTAATAAAAATATTATTCTCTACTGGGTCAAATCACACTCCGGTATAACAAACAACGAAGTCACAGATAACATTGCCAAAGAAAGTATACAAATGGGAGAAGATATAAATTGTGAATTATCAATATTCACATCATCATCAAAGAACATATAAATTTATTAAAACAAAAAATGTTGAAGAAGTGGACATACTTATGGTAAGAGTACTGTTTTACAAATCCAATTCGATATACCAAAATAGAAACCAAATTGAGAAGAATCCTTGGTACACCAAATATTCTACACTCGTAGAAGTATAACCGCTATTAGTAGACGGAAGTTTGGTCACGCATGTTATCCAGCATATTTGCAAAGATCAAAATAATCCAGAGCGACCTTTGCGACGATTGTAACATAATCGGGGATCTGGACCCAGTTTTCTTTGGGTACATAAAATATAGGGAGCAACCTATTGAACTCTTCAAGAAGTTTGAAGAGTATTCAATTGAGATTTACGATTACTTGTCTTCAGGTAAAACAGTGAAAATTTAACTATAAGATCATCTTTATTTTACTCCTCATGTTTTTCCCAAATGATAATAAATATGTATTCCTCAGTTTAATGTATTTAGAGGCGATAGAAATGTATTAACCAGTAGTAAAAGGTGTTTTAATAGTCACGTGGTCCCTAATTCAAGATAGTGTTGTGAAAATTTCAATGGAGCACATAGAACAGCTATTCCTTTAATTTATAGTAGCAGGAGAGTATATATTCCACCTGCCTCTTCAGCAGTTCTATACGAAGATTTTTGTGCATCATTTGAAAGTGCTTATGCTGTCTATTCGAAGTGCGTGAAATATATAGTAGGTGATTTTAATTTAAAAATGTTTTGCAACTTAAGGCTGTTTTATCGGTGCAGCAAAATTTTTTCTGTTATTTACCGACGAAATGTCTCGAAATTTGGGCATGTTATTCGAAATTATGTTGCCTTTAAAATGATCGTTATACTTTTTTTTTACTTTCCATAGAAGAGGCTGGACGGGAGGAATTGGCTTTATCCAAAGAAATTGGTGAAGTAGATTCCGACGGAAATGGGTTAATAACCGTTATAGCTGATGGTGCTTGGTCAAAAAAATCGTATAAAGTAAACTACGATGCTTCTTCAGGTGTAGTACCTGACGTTGTAAAATTTATTAAATTAGTACGCCTTTGATGGATAGGACATGTAATTAGGCGAGATGAAGATAAAACGATCAGAAAAATTTTCGACCGAAGAGGACCAGTGGGAAGACGATCCAAAGAGGAAGACCAAAACTTAGGTATCAAGATAACATAGAGGATGATCTAAAATCCATCGGAGTTAAAGTATGGAGAAAGTAGCCAGAGGCAAGGGCGAATGGAAGATTGTTCTGAAGAAGGCTTTGGCTCATGACGAGCTGTAATGCCACTGATGATGATGAAATAACTATCCACGATTTGTGTTTTATTCATCAATTGGATACTTTTCTTATGTAACTGCAACCTATAAATATATTAAAATAATGTATATTCCACTCAGAGAACTTTTTCCTCACAGTGCGTCGCCTCGAAATACTTGCCAGATAAATACATTTACTATTATGATGGTTTCGCAGGTACCAATTTTTAAAGATAAGTAAAAATATTTTTTGTTTAATTTTTACTACGCTAATATCAGTTTTCTCTAACAAAAAATAACTTCTTGAAATAATTTTCACACTATAACTGCGAAATTGTAATGTTTGTGACAACAAATTGTAATTTTTTTGATAATAATATTCTTGTGTTATTTTAAATTTATTACAAATAAACACCATGGTGTTTTTGCAGTCACGTTTCACAAATTTTTATTCAATACTATGTTTAGCTAAGACATATAAATTAAAAATGTGATTAATTCTTTTTAAAACATTATCTACAATAATCAATCTAAAAAAAGTATTCCGACAAAACTAATTTGAATGGAGAATAATGCATTTATTGTCATTAAACAACCCGTGGGTCGGCGCCACTGAATAAACATCGAAACTGCAGATTTCAAAATAGGAAGTCACGTAGGGTCTGACATAAGCAGTGTAGAAAAGTAAGTGATACGCCCACTTCAAATCGCAGTATGCTTTAACTGCGAAAACAGCCTTGAATTATTATTTTGCTTAAGCCAACTGGAATAACTATATAGATACTAATGATTTAAATATACATATTTGTTTCCAAATTAAATGAGGTGTTGTATGAGGAAATAAATCTGTTTGTTCCATACAAAGAAATATAAATCTGCTAATTTTCCCAGTTTTTTAACTCTGAACTGAGATGTTGCATCTGTAAATAGTGACCTTCAGTTTAATCCCAAAATCTTTTGGAAATACAAAAATCGCAAAAGATCATCAGTTAAATTTCTATATGATATGAAATATGAAACTTCTAGTAATGGCATTGAAACCTTTTATTTTTTTTTAAAGGTTTGTTTTTAACAAAAATCTATTTTTAAAGGTTTGTTTAAACAAACCTGGTTGTATGTTATAAAAGATGTATAATCTTTTATAACTATATGTAATTTAAAGGGTTTTTACCCATGTATTTTGGTAGCTCAGGCATTTTAACCTAGTAATTTTAACCTGATTTTAAACCTGATGATGGACTTTAAGGGTTTTTTAAATAAATATACCCACTTATGAAGACTAACCTCTTTTTTGTGATATGCGGTATACAGCCAGCTACAGGAATTGTTTTCCTTGTGGATTTTATTTTATGTTCTTTTATATGCATGATTTTTGAGGATACCCTGTAGTTTAAAAAGTTGATGTGATAGACAAGATCTGAGGTTTTTCTCAGATTCAGAGGACACAAATTAGTGAAAAACAAGTGTCAGATCTAACTCAACAAAAAATGTGTTCCCCAATGTAATCTAAAGAAAGACGAACTACAATTTAACACACACACCTACAGAAATAAGGTAAGGCAGAAGAAAAAAAACTTTTTATGATAAAGTAGAAGAAGAGACGGAAAAATTCCCAAAAAAGATGTTATAATTGTACTAGGAGACCTCAAGATAAAACACTAATAAAAATGCCAATCAAATTTTGAAACAAAATGGCTTATTTTTTGGTTAGTGACAAAATACTTAAAACAAAATACCAAAATAGTAAAAAAAAACAAAATAAAATCTTTTATATAAAAATAAATATTTTATGATTAGAAATAAAAAACAACAGTACTTATTCAGAAAATACAATCTAATAACAAAAAGTACTTAGCATAAATCCCATACAACTAAAATCGCAAGGGAAACTGCCTTCTGGTATTGTTAAATGGTCAACCTCTTCCACAGAAAGATGACATAAAATAATTGGGAATGCATTTGGATCGCAGGCTCACATGGAAAAAACATATATTTCCCAAGCGAAAACAGCTGGGCTTTAAACTCTAGCTAGCTGAACAGGCTTTAGAATAATAACTAATTCTCCATGGTATGTTTCAAACAAGATGATCATATGATGAGATCTCAAAATGACAACTTTCATCAAAGAAGTCACAAACTCTGCCAACAATATGATCAGAGACTAACAGACAGCCCTAATAATTTAGCCCAAACTTTATTGGCACAACCAATGGGATGAAGACTCAAACAAAAGACCCCAGATGACATCTTAACTATAAACTAGTCATAGAAGCCCAATAGAATCTAGGAGCAGTAGTCCAAAAAACCCTACAACATACATGATACTATTCTTGTGCCAAGAATACACAGGAAATTGTCAATGGGCAATTTTCTGCAAGACATTTTTTCTTTAATAATATTTGTATTTGTGTTATTATTGTTTATAATTCGCCATCAGGAGAAGTTCAGAGTTTTCTGTGTAAATTACATAATATATTGGAGCTATGCAGTAAGTCATATCATGAGATTTATATTTGTGGGGATCTAAACATTGATTATCTTGTCATGTCTAATAATAAGCAATCTTTTAACGAGTTTTTAGTAAGTTATAATCTGAGAGTCATGTCTGAGGTTCCTACAAGAGTTTTCATAGATAAAGTGGGTAAAACATCATCTATAAAATTGGACTACATATTGACAAATATCGAACCACATCTTTATAGATCAAATGTTTTCGAGGAGCACTTCAGTGACCATAAAGTATTTTCACTTAGTGTAAATTTGCAAGCCAATAAAGTATCGAAAAAAGATAAAAAACCCATCAGTTACAGGAATATATCAGATGAAAATATGTTAATGTTTAAAGCAGGGGTTTCTTCTACAGTTTTTGATGAAGTTTATTCACAATTGAATGCTGAATATGCCACAAATTAATTTGTTAGCATTTTAGATTACAATCTAAATTTATATTGTCCAATAAAAACACGGTATAAAGCACACAAAACAAATAAGGCTACATGGGTAACAAATGACTACACTGGGTAATGGGTAACTACACACTACGAAAAAAGACTATAGTGACTAACATGCTAGTGAAAAACTAAAAAATCTACATCTCCGTAGACATCGTTCCGGCTTATTACACTAGTACCCCCATTTCTAATAAATAAGTAGCAATTAAATTACATTTAACACTAATTTTACTACTTATCTTACCCGAGTTATCTTCCGATTCATTTTTGAAGTGTTCCAGATCTATTGATGTGGATAGACTCTCTATATCTTCTTGGTTATATTCAAAAACCTCTTCCTTAATTTCAACTTTAAATTCCATAGCTGACATGTATTGGAAATGTACAAAATTATTTACTATATTCAGCGACAATAAAACATATGGTTCCAGTACCAGTACCACAGTATTAATTGGTTTGGTATTAAATCAGAGTATGTATTAAATTGTGATGTATTATTTACATCGAGCAAAAAGATAAAAGAGGGAATGTAAAGGTAGTGGGGACAAAAATATTGTTAGACAGGAAGTGCTATCTTGAGAGGCCACTTTAAACAAGGAAAGACAGTCTCGTCCTTGTTTAAGAAGTCAAATTTAGTTTGGTTATGTTATTGTTTGTCCCAACTGTCACATGAAATTTTATTTATATTGAAGTTTTTTACCAATTATGTGACTTTTTAGACTATTATCGTTAATATTTAATTAAAACTTTCTTGTCTGAAAAATATTTTACAGGTATTGTTAACAAGTGTTGGAAAATTTAAATTTGGCGCCTTTGCATTTCCGGATATGTCCGCCATCAGAGGCCACTTTTTTGGTCTCCTTTTCATAACGATTAGATTCCCTCTTTTATCTTTTTGCTCGATGATTATTTATTAGTTAATTGTATTTTTATTCTTAATCTTAAGGGCGCCCACCCAACTGGAATTTGGCATCATATCATTCATTATGGTATAGCCACCAGAAGGGGCACTCTCAGATGCCGCCTTTGAAGTTTTTCAGCACGCGCGCCATGTTTTAGGAGGACACAAACATATGATTTGTGAGGTTATGCAATTGTTTACATTTATGTTTAATTATATTATATTTATGTTATTATATTTAAAACTGTTAATATAATTGTATAGTACGTCTATG